ACTACTGAACCCCAGAGGACTATAAATAGTGATCAGCATTGTATCTCTGAAAAAGCAAGAAAACGGACTTTGACTGTTTTCACCATAAAGAACTGATAAATGATTGAGCAGACAGATATATTTAACTTGATTATACTATGTATACATGTACTAAAACATCACATGGTATTTCATTATGTGTAATTTTTTGTATCAGTTAAAATAAATATAATTTTTAAAAGGGTATAATACACAATGTCTACTTCATAGGCCAAATTGGAAACATGGTTTTGTTTTTCACATGGAGTAAATGTTAAGGTAAAATTTATCAATAATGTCTTCTGAACTATTATTAGTGTAATTCCTTAAGGTACATATTAACAATGATAAATAGATTTTTTAAAGAGATAGGGTCTTGCTGTGTTGTTGTCCAGCCTATCCCTGAACTCTTGGGTTCAAGCAATCCTCCTGCTGGGACTACAGGGGTGCACCACTGACCTGATTTAAACATAATTTTAAGTAAATTAATGTTATTTTGGGGATCCATATGAGTTCAAGTACTTCACCCAGCAAATTTTGAAAAGTAATGTGTGTTCTGCTTTTCCTCACCACTTTTCCTATTAAATGGCTTCAAATCCCATTGGAGATAGAGTGGGTTAATATTTACTGCATGTCTTGATGAGTTGGTAGAAGTACTTTCTTAAAGGAACCCAATCTCTTACAGATAGGCTCTGAAAATCAAGATCCGGATCAGATTTATAGAGTCTTAATTTTCTATTTGTCCAGCTGATAACAGTCTGCTTACTGGCTGATGGTTTCTATTTGTTCCTGGGGATATATGTTAAGCAATAATCTAGTTGCGTTTCTCATCACTCTTAGTCATTACTGCAAATCCTTGCCAGCTAATATTCTCTGGTGACCATCTGGGCTTCTGGACTATTACTTCTATCTATGTTTAAGAGCTAAATGTTACCACCTGGCCTCTTTTATTCTGGAATTTTGAAACATCCTTTGACACTAGAAAACAAAGATTCCTGGCAACATTTTCTAAAATATACTGTGGCTTACAGAAAATAGCCACCTGGTGAATTTCACAAAAACTCCAGAGCTCCCCTTACTGTTGTACTCCTTACTATCTTATTAAGGAAACACCTGGAAGACACCCAAGAAAATACAGCCAGTTAATAGACACTATTTATTCAATGTTCCCACCAAAACTCAAGATGAAATTTAATCCTCACTGTGAAACACTAAGAGGTGGGACCAGATAGGGCCTTTAAGAGATTATTAGGTCATAAAGGCTCTGCCCTCATGCATGGATTAACCCATTTGTGGATTAATAGACTAAGGTGTTATCTCAAGACCAAATCAGTTACAAAAGCACATTTGACTCTATCTTTTGTATGTGCCTTCACTGTGATTCTCTGTGCAACTGAGACACTGCAGAGAGTCCCCATCAGCAAAAAAAAGGCCTCAAACCACTGTGGCTTCTCAACCTTGGACTGCCTACGATCCAGAACTATAAAATGAAAAACTTCAAAGTTTCCCAGAAAACGGAGAATATGCTCTGTAAGAGGATAAACTTCTTTTTATGAAGCATAACCCTCAGGTGAAATTGTTGCATTGTTTCAAGGAAAGTGAGGCTATTCTGCTCTAGCCAAAGATACAGGACTTTTCTCTCAACTAGAAGTACTGAGGGTAATCTGGGGGTTTCAAGTTCTGAGGTGATATTCATAAGAATCGCCATTCAAGGTCTTGAAGTCCCACTCCTTCCCATTAGGCAGTGACTTTGGCATAAAAGAACTGTCACAGCTGAGGTTTCCATTTCACTTGCCCTCAACAAGCTTTATGATTAAATTCTGGGAATGATTTTCAACATTACCTTCCCTATGGTGACATGAGATAAACATCTTTAAATGCTATCATTGAAGGTCTGCTGATGTTCATACCATGGGCTGAGGTGATGAATTACCCTTTCAAGGTTTTATACAGGAAAAAACTTGCCAAGTTTTTAACTTTTATAATTATTATCTGTCATACTTTTCATGTGCTGATATTACATAAACACTAATGCTTCTCCTTAAAGCTGTACACTATCCCAATTGACCACAGGTAAGATTCTGAATAATTACTATATACATCAGGATAACCCCTAGCCCACTTACAATCAGCATCATTGTACTGAGTGCTATCTGATAAGTCATCATTTATAAAAATCTCATGATGAGGATCTGTCATCTAGAGCCACATTCAGTAGCAACCGACTCAGTAGAGATACCTCATCAAGTACTGAGATAAGGACTTGGTTATGCATATTTTCTATAGTCAGTGATCTCAGGCAACCTTGGTGAAAAGTGGAAAATGTATGAAAACTACTAGTCCATTCTGCCTGAAGATTACTCATACTGGCTTTAACTGTCTAACACTTCCTGGTTCCACTTGGGGAGAAATAAGGCACTCTGCAACCAGCAAGGGATTAAAGAGACTCATGACTGATGCAGGATAGTGTCAAATGTACAGAACTGTCCTCTATAACTGTGGTGAAATCATGTGAGCTAAGGGAATTGCCAAGATGCGTTATAAGTACTGGCTACAACATCTCATCCAAACTTTCACCTATTTTTATCATATCTCCCACTTGATTCTCATTGGGGAACACTAGTTTCTATCACAATGATTGTTATCAGAAGGCTGAAGAAAAACTAAACTTCCTTATACTATTACATTGAAAATGAGTCTAATTGAGAGATATGATACATCACAGACTCCAAATATATGTTGCTTCACATTGTAAAATTGAAGAAATTTTACAAAAAGATATGATTTTTTAAGATCTACGTATGTCATTCCTCAAAACTAAATATTTTTTAAAATACTACACTGCCAATTATTTATTTATATTATAGTTTATGTTTCCTTATTTTTTAAAATTGCTATTTTTATTACCAACTGTGTATAAGGGCAAGACTAGACTGAGCGCTATCATCTTCATGGCAATATGAATAATTTGCCACCTTTTAAATGGATAGTCTAATCAGCTGCTCATGCTCTGCCCAGTGTGGCTGGCATTCCCTTCCATGAGCTTACACAAACAAGAATGTTTTCTCAAAATCTTCTCTAATTATACCCATGAAAAACTGGTTGAATATGTGAAAGGAAAGACTAAAACAGATACAGACCTCACCGATTCAATGGCTCACACAAGCTTCACATTACAGACAGTGCGAAGTCAACCTCTGGCAATTTATCAATCACCCTCATTAATTCTTACCAGTTTTCAGATGGTTCCAGTCCAGGTAAGCAAATATTCATGTCTCATGGTTCTCTGCAGGCTCGTGTCTTTTTTTAACTTTTAGCCACTGGTTACCCTGTGATCTCAATTCTCTAATGGCTTCAGAAAAAAACTCAGGAATTTCAGTCTTTCTAAGTGCAAGGGTGGGAACAAGGTTCTTGTCAGCTCTCTACATCCTTGAGGAATTCTGCAAATGCTACTATCATGTTCTTGTTTTTACTGATGCAGTTTCCCCTTCTTTGTATTATCTTCTATACTTGGAAATTTTACCCATTGTTCAAGATCCAGCTAAATAGTCCTTGCTCAAACTTTCCTTATCCTTCCAGAAGGAATTAATCATTCCCTATTTAGTATCCCACTAATAATTACTTCATTCCATTCCATAAATAAATTCATTGAATAATCATATTGTGCTACTGATATAATGGTCCCTAAAGAAATTCACTGTAGCAAAGGATGTAGACAAGCACATTGGTAATACAAAGAAGGAATTAGGAGATAGAAGAAGAAGCAGTATCAGGTAGGGAAGGTTATGTAAAATAACATCAAGATGGACATCTTGACTACATACATAAAGCCAAAGAGTTACCCTGAGAAGAGGGAAGGGTTCATAGACATACCAAATAACTAATAAAATAAACTAATATGTTGTACTTTGTCTAGTACTTCACTGTAAGTCAGAAAAATACTTCAGGCCAAAAAAAGTGTGTTACTTATTTTCCTTAATAGAATTAAGCACTAACTTTATAAATGTTTATTGATATAAATGATTATCTCTACTCCCTAACAGGAACATTTTTTCTAATATAAATATACCATAGCAAATAATCACTTTAAGAATGCTGGCCCTATTCTCTATTACCCAATACTAAAAGTTAAATGAACAAACAAAAAGGTATTGAGTGAAAATCATCTACTATCTATAAAATATTCCTTACAACTTGGCATTTCATTTCCTCCCTTATAAAAATACATAAATAAAACATGTGCAAAATGTATATTTGACACTTAGAACTATGCACTTTCTAGATTTCTTACATATTAATTCTAAATTATATAAGCTAATAAGCTCAAGATTTCAATGAATTAAAATACTATTGTCTCTTTTCTAGAAACAAAAAATATGGTACTGAGTAATGACTATAGATGGTTATATGGGAACATCATTTATGCAAAACTACAGTAAAAATTTCTCTGTTTAAGATCATGGCAGAAACTCATATTTCATTTTTGTCTATAATACTGTAACTATAGTCTACAGAAACTTTTTTCATTGCTTCATATTGTTATCCAATCAACAAAGGGTTTAATCAAGACAAATCACACTGTTTATGACCAGGATCTAGTAGATAATTTGAGAGAGTGGGGAAGGATGGTACAAAATACAAATGTAGGGGTTTTGTTAAAAATTAATTGGAATTTCAAAACAGTAACAGAAAAACATTAAGTGTGATGTGCTTCTAAGCACGGGGCCCTGTGCAAATTCACAGGCCATAAAGTTGGCTCTACTTACTACAACTAAGCTTTAGTCTTATAAAATATCAGAGGCAATCTTCTGTTTTAATACACAGGATTCTAATTTAGTTCCATTGATTTTTAATACCAAAAGACCTTTCTCAATAGGAAGTGCCCTAAAATCATATATGAGTTGACCTCCCTTTTAACTTCATCAAGTATGGATAATATAATGTACATAAAAAAGACAATTTTAAAAATCATTGGTACTTACAATTGGCATTGATCACCTTTTATTCCTTTCGTTGTGCAGAAACATTTTCCTGTGTGCAAATGACAAATATTTGCATGGCCACTGCATGTACAAGCTGTAAGTTCAAAATCAAAATAATATTGAGTATTCTACATCACAAACATATAAAATGTGATCAAAATATGCAGTTAATATTTTAAAATGTATTATAGTAAAAGACACATTGCCATTAATTGCTCTCAAAATATTTCCCCTCACTTCAAACATTTATGTCATCATTCTTGCCACTTTTTAAAATGGGTTTAAAGGAAGAATACAACAGCTTAGTTTCAAAATGTACATCTACAGGGCCAGGGATTTAGCTCAGTGGTTTCACCACCTGCTGCGCAAGTGCAAGGACCCGAGTTTGATCCCCGGTACCAAAAAAAAAAAAAAAAAAATGTACATCTATAATCTCTATGTTTTACTTTAGACAATTTACTTAACCTATTCAGGCTTAGTTTCTTTACCTGCAGAAAAGAAATAATAGTACTTCTCATATATCAAGCACTAAATAGATTCAGCTGTTATATTTAGTATTATTACTACTGGTAATGATAACAAATATTGTTGTATATTACGGTTTTTAAAAGCATGTGTGTTTTGCCCTAAAATCATCTTTTGAGATGATTGAGCTTCTGAGATTATTCTCACTTTTATTACTTCAAAATACTAAATGAAACATTCCACTGGGTAATCGCAACACATGATCAGTTTTATCCATATGAACTCAAGTCTCAATTTTTACTTTATATTATTTTCTCTAAGAATCATGTTCCAGTTATTTAGGACACACTTTATTATGTCCAATATCCATTCAATTAGCAGATTCTAATTTCTATGTGCACAATATCTCTTCCATTAGAACTGTCTTTTTCATTTTGATAATCACCATTCAAATGTCATCCACTTTCTCTTACTGACACCAATACAATCATCTATGAGCTCTCTCTACCTTCATTATTTCTAGGTTACAATTTATTCTCCAAACAAATGACATATTCTAAAGAGACAAGCCTGATTATGTCAGTAGCTCTTTCAAAAATCTTTAGGGAGAACTACTGTGTTCTTGAACACCACCATCTAACTAAACAATTCTAAATATATAAACATATTAAAATGATGAGTCAAATTTTCCAAATGTTCAAATTTTGTTTTTTCTTAAAATATCAGTGTGCTAACATGTTTCTATTTAATGAACAAATGTAAAAAATGACCAGATAATCATACTGATATTTTGACTGAGTGTCCAAGAAAAAAATGGACCCTGTATACCAGAATGAAATACAGTACAAGACCAATCTGAACATTTTCTAAGGAACAGATTAAATCTGTAGTTGCAGATGCTCATCTTCATTTTATTGGACCAGATAGAGTACACAAAGAAATCAGAAAGAGGAAGAGGAAGAAGATTTGGTGAGAATTCTCAGGGGAAAAATTAGTATTATCAACAAAGTCTTCTGTGTCCAAGGGAATGGTTTCTTATCCTCTTACCTAAGCCTGAGAGGGACATCACCTAAGCTCTTTAGAGGGTTTGATGTGAGTTCCTTGGAATCTTGGTGGCGTTTAATAGAGGACTTCTGAATTATTCAGGTGTGAGTAGCTGTGGCTACTGAAAAGAGTTGGAAGGACAGAAGATAGAAAGGGATACTTTTGCAACCTGGAGTTATGTAAAATTCTGACCAAGAGCACCACCAACAAGCATTAGGGAGCTCCAACTGAAGGAGTTGAATGGGAAGCAGGATTGGGAAGGAAGAATAAAGGATAAGACATTCTCATCAAGAGAACTGCCTGCCAGCCAAGTCTTAGAAGGGCTATGTGAGCCCTTCTTACATATGTTCTCAGCTATGTGAGAAAGGATCAGCAGTACTGCTTCTCTCACATACAGCATTTTAACCACAGATGACAGCTGTACTTCCCACAAAAGACTATGCAATTTTTTCCTCCCCACTAGAAAGATGAGAAACAGTTAGCAACTAGGATGTGGCTCAGTGGTAGAGCATGTGTTAGCAGGTACAAGGCCCTGAGTTCAATCTCCTCAAACAACAACAATTAATAGTTACCAGTCTAGTAAAGGAGAAAGGTCCTGAGTTCAAATAGAAAGAGAGAACATTTGGAATAGACAAAGAGAGGAAATGTAGCTTCAACGTAGGTCAGAGCTTTGATTTTCACCTGATCTAGATAATTTTACTTATTTATTTAAACGTGTTTGCAATTTAAATTCTTCAGGATTCCTTATACTAAATAAGAATGAGTCTGGGATTTCATACAAAGTCAGGGAAAAATTTATTCTGCTGAGCACACTCTGAAAATGACAGAGAAAAATATTGTGTTTTCATTACATCCCGTTAATCTTGCTTGTGCCTCCTATCAATTACATATTTGTTAGCAAAAATTTTTTGAGGAAATATCATTCATTATTTCATGAAGGCAAAAAGTTACAGTTGTGATTTTAAATTGTGTATACATTTTATGCTTATAAAGCTGTAACTCAAACAATGATGAATACAAATGAAATGATCTAAAGATAAGATTTATTCCAATGTGATACCACTTGTATCAGTCTGTGTGTAGTGTTTCCTTAACCCATCTCATTACCTCTGACTACCAGAAGTAAATACTAGCATAAATTTATGTTCACAAATTCTTTTTTTAAAATAAGCATGCATAAATCATTTACATTTAATGTTTCATTAGCAACCGAAGATATCTGTAACAAATACTTTAAAATAATGTCATACAAGGACAAAGGAGGATTCCTCATTTTAGAAACAAAAGACCAGCACAAGGCAAAAAGGAGAAGGGCCAGCCTAGTTAGGGCAATGAGAAGGCTGGACCTGGACACACACAAGGTCATACCGTGACTTGAGCAGAGGAGGGCCTGATTCCCCTTACAGTGCACCACTCAGAGTAACCTCAGCAGCATCTTCGTGAGTCCTTCCTAAGAAATGACTGAGGTTCAGGTATGGAGGGGAACCTGAGTCCCATTCCTCCTTTCTCCTGGCATACCCAGGGTGCTTGGCATTGGCACCACAAAAACAGCTTCAGCATTCCATGAGGCCCCTGGACAGCATTACACATATCTAGCACCTTGGATAGCACCTTGGTCTTTCCAGTGGTTTATGGTCCAAGGGACTTGCTTTAACTTCCCTAGGATAGTTCCTGCTCTCATAAACTTGTACTTTTCTGTTGACTGCCTTGTCTCTTCTCTGAAGTCCTCCTTGATGGCAGCCTACAACCCAGTTCCAACCCTTAGCCACAAAGATTCACTTACTCCTGGCTTCTCACCTAGACGTTCCTAAGGAGACACTGAATTCTAGAGGACACAACAGAGACACGAGCTTTCTACTGGAATCCTAGAAGTATCCAGAACAGGTTTAAACCAGTGTATGTGATGAATGAGAATGAGCTTTGATCTTCATTTGCCTGAGAAAGGTGGTGGCACCTGGGACACCAGCCTAGAACCTGAGTATGAGCCTGGGGACAAGAATGGAGTGGTGGCCAGTGAAGGCCTGTGCAACAGGCTGGGCTGAAGAGTTTATGAGAAATGGGGCAACCTGCGATACACTGAAGATACCACCAAGGACTAGAACATGGCCTCATCCTCACCAATGGCCAAGTCCTGGGGCCAGATATGAACGTTGTGGAAAATTCAAAATTCCAGATTCTGAAGGACTGGTGGGCTGGCAGTGAAAGACAGTACCTCCAGGTGCCTCTACTCAGGATCCTCAGTTGAGGCTCAGTGACCCTGGAGACCCAAATGTCTGGGATGGCTTCAGCTTCTCAAACCACATTGAGAAGATTCTGGAGACAGAGATGCTGCAGAATTACCAATGTAGCAGCCTTGACTCCCTAGAGATGTTGGGGCTTATGGATAAGACAGACAGACAGACTCATCAGTATCAAGGCTGTCCTCACATCCCTCATCTAACATCGTATCTATGATACCCCTGAGCCAGGGACTGCATTGAGCACTGGGGATATAAAGACCTAGGAGAGCATAGGTGTAGCTGAGAGCATCAGGGACCTGGGCAGCCCTCTGCAATATTCCACCTCCATTTGCTGCTCAGAGAACATTTTGAGCTGTCTGTCGACCATATCCAATAGATTCTATGAAGATGGGTCCTGGGACCCAAATGAGAATGACAACAAAAACAGACACAAGCTGCTAAAAGACCACTTACTGACTCAGACTCAAATCTGAACAGCTTAGAGTGACTGGAGCCTGGCACCACAGACCTCCAGGTTAAGGGTACCAGAGAGTTAGTAAAGCTGTTCACTGACTAGCATGCCACCTCTACCACTGTGCAGATTTCCACTGCTGCAATGTAATCCAGAAGCTGAGCAAGAAAGTACCTCCCTATACCATAGAAAGGCTCTCAGGTGACAAAAGGCAGATCTGGCTTCCAGAGCGCTACGCACAAGGCTAAGGGAGACAGTCTAGATCCTGACCACAAGTCAGGAGCTGGCATGAGATATTTAGGACTCACCCTGAGGGAGGCTCAATTCCTGGATCTGTTTCTCCCTCGTGCCTCCTCCACCTTCTGCAGCCTCCATGTTGTTTCTGCAACAGGACCCCTACAATGGCCCCAGCACAGAAATCCAAATTCAGATGGCCTTATGTTTCCCACCAGATTATAAACCTCAAATCTAATGATATCCTTTCAGAAACTGTCATATGGAATATCCCTCCCGTGCTTTTTTTCAATCACTTTGTCTAGAAGTGTCTTGCCATTAGTAATTAATTATATGCAACCTTCTCCAATGTGATAATAATCTTTCCTCAACTTCACTTTGTCCTCTAGTTTTTTTCACATCCAAAATTCTTGGGTTTTTCCTCCTGTGTACCCTCTACCCTCCTTCCTCTTCATACTCAGCTCCTTCAGATGGGCTTTCCCTTTCTTTTCCCTGTTCAGAAATTTCTCTTGCAAAAGATGCTGGTAGTCTTGTGCCTTTGATCTAGTGGCTGCTACCCAAGCCTCACCTTACCTACTATCAGCAGCATGGACACAACTGATCATAGATAAAACCAAAGAAAACTAATATATTGAAACTTAATGCACCTTTAAAAAAGAA